ACTCAAGTGTGAAAAAATTACGAATTCGAAATGCAAATACCTGATGATTTTCCAATAACATAGAAGAATAATTTTACATATGTAGTATTTTTTTTTAAATCCTGCGAGCGCCCATGACTACAAGTTATTGGTCCAAGCATAAGACAATCCTTTCTGCTCTATAAATACATCAAAATGTCACAATCAGTGTGGAGAGTTTAGATCGAATATATTCACAGACCTTCAGAAAACTAAATGAAAATATATTTATCTATTTTTTCTGATATATTTAAAAACTCCAGTCACGTGTTTATACTTTTTGAAATACTGATGTTTGACTATTTTTCTAAGCTGAAAAGGTGACGTCCACAGGTAAAGACTGGCACCGGACATGTTTGAAATGTGAAAAATGTAACAAGACCTTGACTCCAGGATCACATGCTGAGGTTCGTAGTAAAATTATTATTTTTTATTTCTAGGTGCTTCCTGCCTTATAAAGATAAGAGTTTGTTGACTTTCAGAAACGAAATTACTGGAAAGTGAATATATTAAATAGTAACTCTTGGTGATATGAATAATGACTAATAACTGGTTACATGTATATATACATAGGATTGAGTTTGTTATATTAGCCATCAGTGGCACAGCGGTATGTCTGCGGACTTACAACGCTAGAATCCGGGTTTCGATACCCGTGATGGGCAGAGCACAGATAGCCCATTGTTTAGCTTTGTGTTTCATTACAAACAAACAACTGTTATATTAAAACAACTTTGGAGCCTTACAACGTCGTTACAGTCCCTGTCGCCACGTCCGGTCATGCTCTATCTGACGACTTTGCACATTAACAATAGCACTTCAGCGTAGTTTCCATTACGAAATGCTCCGTCCTAAAACTGTCACGGTAGAAGCACATCGTTCCTCCCTGCTTGCTTTCCATAATCCATCTAGTATACAAGTATGATGGTTTTCCAAAGCCAGTTTCGACAGCTCGATCGCACAGAAATATGTAAATGCTGCGTCCATTGACTCGACTGGTGTACTTTTTTATGGAATAGCATAAATACCCATTTTATTCTTCAGTTGCTTGAGGTATGCGATGGTCGAACATAGAGTACAATTGCAAGTTATATCTTGGTGAATCCATGCCCTGTTAGCCTAGTTTATAGAAAGAGATAATTCTTGATTATGTTGCATGCTGTTGCTTAGGGTAGATTTTGCCACTGAGCTACCACTTGCCACAGAACTAAATCAGTATCAAAACCAAGTCTCCTGGTGGCTTGACGGTAAGCGTATGAGTTTATAATGCTAAAATGCGGGTTTAAGTACCCGTGATGGGCTTAACAACAAATAAACAATCGAAATCACATTTGAGCAAAAATAAAAATGAAATACTCAGATGAGCTGACGGAGTAAAATTTATTATAAAAAAACAAAAACATTTCTATTTCAGTTATTATTACGAAAGTTTAAATCCGTTATGGGTAGTTTGTTTACTGTCCCCTGCTGAGACAGTGGTAAGTCTACGGCTTTACAACGCTAAAATCAGCGGTTCGATTCGCTTCGGTGGACACAGCAGATAGTCCAATGTGGCTTTGCTATAAGAAAAACACACGCTCTGTTTATTTATTAGTTACTACCTTTATTCTCGTCCCAACCATCAATTATTTTTAAATCGCATACACTACTTCGTTGTGTTTAAGCCAATACTTATACCAATTTTATTTTTAACACATATGTGTCACGAACCGTATGATTGATTTTCTTTCGAGCATTTAGAATAAGCTAATTTATATTATTTTTTAATCTAGCGAACGAATGACTTAGAATCTCAGGCAATAATAGTTTTTCTTTATATGTTGTGTCAACTAAAATATTTAGACTGATGTTGTTTTACTTACATATTTCATCGATACGCAGGGTATTATTGTTTAGTGCTTTCATGTATTTAAACATTTAATTAATTGTTTTCAATTGTTTATTTTTTGTTATATTCTACAGCATGAAGGCAAGCCTTATTGCAACAATCCTTGTTACGGCGCCCTCTTTGGGCCAGGAGGTAATGTTTTATTTTAATGGTTGGAGACGGCTTGAACGGGTAATGAAGAAAAACTTTAATATAAGTTTAACATAACAGCAAATGTACAACCAAGGTTTTGTCATCATCGAATTTGAATGTTTTATTTTGTTTTTTTAATAATAGAAGTAGGGAATAATGATTTTAGGTTTAAAAACTTTGTGAAACATGAAACGGGAGATAAAAATTAGGTGTCAATCTCTGTATTGAACCCCCTCTCCTTAATAACTATAATGCAATGTAAAATATTTAGACGTTATTATATGTAAAGAAAGAGAGACGCCTAATACAGTAACGTAACTCATGGGTGGGGAAGATACGCCTTCATCTGTCTTACTCCGGTGGGTAAGCGGTAAATTTATGGACCTAGAACGCTAAAATCCGGGGTTCGGTTTCCTGCGATGGACGGAACGCAAACATCCCAATGTGTAGCTTTGCGCTAAAAAAAATGACAGGCTAACAAACAGTCCCCGCGGCCCTAAGAAACATAGTTTTAATTTTGAAATTTAAAATATAGTGCAAAACTGTGTGACGGTCCCGCGTTATGTCGACCTCAGGATTTTCATACACGCTGAACTCACCGTTTCCCTTACAGCTTTCAAGTCTGTAGCTCCAACATAAATATTTCGTACTTTGTGTCCTGTGTTCAAGAACTTTGCTTTTCATGTTGTCTTTGTTATGTGACAAGAGTGAACTGATTTATTTTATATTTTTATTATGATTTTTATATATAGTCCTTTACTTACCACTAATAACCTAAAATACGTCAGGTTATTAGTTGTGCATAAATGGATATACATCAAAACCAAAGAGGCGCATTGAATTGCACCATTATATGAAGTTTATTTTGTTTCTCTGATGAGCCGTGAATTCGGCGAAACTAGTCTGCTGCAACGGAAGTAGCGAGTTAATGAATACATTATGCCTCTGTGTCATCTTTTCTTCACTGAAATTCACGTTTTGGTGAGGAAAAGAAGTTAACAAATTACTTTCAATCTAATCAACCTTTTAATAACAAGCAACAAGGAAAGCAACCACGGTCACTTTTAACTCGAAGAACTTGTTTATGACTGGTAAATTTAATTAAATAAACTAGACCACCCCTGACCCGTTGTATCACCCACTATTCAGAGGTTATGAAGAATTCAAGCTAATTTCAATATTGCACCGAAATGAAGGTTTATTTTGAGATAATTTAATTAAATATTTTAATCAGTTCGTGTTATTCATAATTCAAGAAAATATATTTGATTGTTGATCGGGAGTAAAAGGAAAGACCATTTCATTTTTCAAAAAAGTGAAGTCAGAGTTTTCAGGTATTGTGAC